TATATATATATATCTTTGACAATTTGCTTTGAATCTAAAAATTGTAAAAGGCTCAATTACCTGATCTTTAACTTGTCTAAGACACGATTCCAACAAACTAAGACAGTGGATGGAATGATTAAACAAGGTATAATGTACATAGATGAAATACAATATTTTGAAACTCGTGTAGAGCTGATCAAGACCCTTAATAGTGTGTACCGAGAAGGTTTATCTTAGGTTTGAGAGAGCAAGATTGGTCCGAAGACTTACGAAGATTTGAGAAGAAAATGGCCTTATTGTTGAAGCTGCAAATTTGGTTTTAAGAGTTACAGTGGAAACTTTTGTTTCCATTAATCTATGTGAGAAAATCCATTATATTTTTCAACAAGTTCGCCTTTGCTGGAACACCTATTTCCCGTATATGTTTTCTTACACAAGTCACAAGTGTCACATTACTTTTAAAAACATTTTCTTATTTGTAAACCCATAAAATTTTGTTTAGAAAATAAAAAAAAACATTTTAATATAAAATAAAAAATTCGTTGTAACATATTACAAAATTATAACTTTAATACATTTCAGAGCATTTTCTTAAATTCAAACACATGCCATCTAATTATCAAAAGATGACATAAATGTCCTACAGTTACTGATGAGTGAACCTTGGATTGATGATCTCTACTGCACTCCTTACTCTTCCATCTTTGTTATTTCCTACATGTGAAATCAACACATGCTAAGTATTTACTTAGTGAGGCATAATAATGTAAAAGGAAATGTAATTTATACACAAGTATATCATGACTATCAAAATATGAAATAAATCGCATACTTCATAAGAATCATTTAAAAATCATCTCAGTTAAACCAAGTTTCTTTCATATAGTCATCAAAACTATTCTTAGTATACACATCATACCTATTTATCTGTATTTTTCCAAATATCTTTTATTTTTCCCAATGTATGTCAACTGAGAATGCAAGGTACATGTGTTGCACCGAAGTGTCGAAATGGTAATTCACCACCTCATTATGAATACAATGGGTGGCACCTTTTATGCTGAAAATGCACCGTTATGCATTAAGCAAAATCGATCGATAACTTTCATACATGAAGTATGTCGAAATGGTAATTCACCTCATTATGAATACCATGGGTGGCACATTTTATGCCGAAAATGCACCGTTATACGTTAAACAAAATCGATCGATACTATCATACACAAAGTATGTTGAAATGCACCTATAACTCTCAATGCACATACAATGGGCTTTTAAGTCAAATCCACAGATTTAAACATTTATTTCTGCAACATCGATTACCATTGAACAACATCAACATTCATTTATTCATTTTAGAGCAGTTCATACTCTAAAACTTATTCATAATATCATTTCCATACACATTATGAAAAGATATCAAAAATACTATAAAATATACATTTAACAAGACCTTCGAGGTTGACTCATCGCGAGTCTTCCTCATCTCATATAAGTACAATAAATGCACTCACCTGATATGCATCACTAGTGTGCTTTAAGGATGTCTAGCTATTCGGTAACTTCATCTTTGCCCTTTTTCTTGCTTGACTCTGGAGCTTGGTTACGATCTACACAAGCATCCATTATTACACATACCATACAAATGTTACTATACTTTCTAACATTTATTGTTTTGATAATACTTAAAAAGTACTATTATTTTCAATTTCTATTAAAATTCATCCTATCTTAAAATTTTAGGCTCAACAGTATCGATACCCCTACTATGGTATCGATACATCTACACTATGGTACCGACACTCCTTTCAGTATCGATACCATTTTTGCATTTTGGAATCCATATTATCGATACCTTTCTCTTAGTATCGATACCCACAACAATATTGATATTACTTGCATTAGTATTGATATTATTCATCGAATTTCCTCAAATTTAAACCTATAGTATCGGTATTGTTCTTCCAGTACCGATACCCTTACCCAGATTTTTCATTTTTCAATTCAAATTGTTACCCAAATTTCGTTTAATTATCTTTCTTTTACCTCTAACAATACCCTTAAACTTATCATCACTAAACCCAACTAACTTTCCCCCATTTAGCTTCTTATAACATCTAAAATCTCCAAATAACATCCCAAACTAAGAATCACACTACTTTTTCATACATGTTTTTAATCACTTTCAAGGCTTCTAATCTCTTATTTACTTCTTTGACAAGTCAAATATACTTGTAAACCTCAATAAAAACTCATATTTCAACGTATCACTCAAAAACCCATTTTCTTCAATCTCAAATAAATCATTCATCTCGTAGTTTTAATCCTCCTTGAACTTTCCTTAAGCCTCTATATCACTTAAGATTTCAAAACTAGCTCATAAACTAAAAGAAAAACCAACTTGAAGAAAACTTACCTTTGGCTATGGAGGAGAGCATGGGACGAGCAAAAGAGAAAAAGAAGATAACCTAGCTAACTTTCCCCTTTTCCTATTCTTAAATATCCCCAATAAAATAAACTTTTAAATCCATTCCCCCTAAAGGACCAAAATGCCCCTTCATTCATCCATTCTTACTAATAGGTCTTAAACACAATTTCCTAATTCATTTATTGTACTTTACCATTTATTCAAATTAACCTCCAAATTTTATATCCTTTCATTATGGTCACCGACCCGATATTTGGGGTATTACATTTGCTTAGATTGCAAGGACTATGTTCATGCTCAATTTGTTTCAATCAAGATTAGTCCTAGAGCATTGGACCCGTAAGAAGGTGACAATATTACAGATGAACATCATGATGATATACCTTCGTTGCCTCAATTGAAGTACATCTACTATAAGTAGATGATTAGTCTCAATTCACAGACTACATTGGAAGTTGCCTTTACTACAATGAAATATACTAGAGTTCGTTCATCGTAAAAAATCAATCCGAGTGTATGCATGTTTTGAAAAAATCTGTTTCTATATAATCCTTACCTCACATGATCTAGTGTAATCAAGCTTTCTTCATTTAATTGGAGAAAGAAGATTTTACTGAGATTTCAAAATTTAATTTGCTTATGAAGCAATTTGTTGCAATGCAAATGATCTAATGGACATCCATGTGAGATTTATATAAAACGACTTTGAGAATAAAAAGAACTTACTAAGAGGCTTTTTTAAGGACCAAGAAGTAAAAGATTTGAGAATGAGAGATATTGGGCATATAATGCTTGTTGTTTCAAAGTAGTACTCAAATATCACAATGAAGAGTCTTGTTGAGTTGATGTGCCTTACCATCAAAGAAGCTAAGAAGCATTTGTCTAAAATGGTAGTCTCTAAGAAATAGTGGTACAGATCGATCAACCCATTAGATTAGTATTTTTCTAGTGAAAAAAATAATAGCAATGAACATTTTGATTCTTGGGTTTTGAATTTAAACAAACTCCACCATCTTCTTGAAAATAGTTACCTCCTAGTATACAAAGAGTTGCGTTGAGGAGTTAATGAGATGCGTCGAACTTTATATGATGAGTTTTTTTTCCACTTTTTCTTTTATGTTTTTTCTTACAAAATATGCATCCATAATTAATTTTTTTCCTTTATACATTAATCTAGGGTGTTTTAGCTTATTATTTTTTACGATGGAGTAGTTTGAGAGGAAAATTACATCTGATTAATATATTTGACACTTAAGCACTACAGCAGGTTGTTTGTTGAGATGTTAGAATCTCTTAAAGAGACAATGTGATGAAAATTTTATTCGATTATAATATTTTTAAAAATAATTTGATTAGTAGTATGACGTGTTATATATAAAATAATTTCCACAAAAGTTGTAGAAAATATTGTAGAAAAAGTTTGGATGTCCATATCTATTAAAGACACCCGATAATTATAATAGAAAATTATTTCTTTTTCTTGTTTAATACATAATTTTCTTTCCTTTTTAGGTAGTAACACAAGTTTTATTTGGGATCAATCTAATTATTATTTATTGAACTATAAAATCTAAAATAATAAATATTTAATTCTAAATTTTAAAACTTATTACTAAAAAGACATTTTTAATTATAGATGCATATTTTGGAAAAAAATATATATATTTTTGACCACTTGATTTGAATCTAAAGATTAGAAAAGTCGTAATTAATTGACCCTTAACTTGTTCAATAAACGATTCCAACAAACTGAGACGATGGTTGGTATAATTCAACAAGGGATAATGTACATAGATGAGATACCGTATATTGGAACTCCTGTAGAGTTGATTAAGACCCTTAATAGTGTGTGCACAAGGAAAGTTTATCTTGGAATTGAGAGAGCAAGAATCGTCTGAAGAGTTTCGAAGATTAGAGAAGGAAATGACCTTATTGCTGAAGCTGCAAATTTAGTTCTGAGAGTTGGAGTGGAAACTTTTGTTTCCATTAATCAATAATTTAGTTATGAGAGTTGGAGTGGAAACTTTTGTTTCCATTAATCAATGTGAGAAAATAAATTATATTCTTGAACTAGTTCGCCTCTACTTAGATTGCAAGGACTATGTTCTTGATCAATTTTCTTCAAGCAAGAATAGTCCTAGAGCATTGGACCCGCAATAAGGTGACAATGTTGTAGATGAACTTCATGATGATATACCTTCACAGCTTCAATTTAAGTACATATACTATAAGCAGGTGATTAGGCTCCATTCTCATAAAAATGACTACAATGTAAGTTCCCTTTGGTACAATGCAATATACAAGATTCCGTTCATCGTAGAAAAACAATCCGAGGGTATACATGTTTTGGAAAAAATCTATTGGTATATGGTCGTGCCCCTACATGATTTAGTGTAATCAAGCCTTCTTCGTTCAACATTAGAGAAAGAACATTTTACTGAAATTCCAAAATTTAATTTGCTTCTGAAACAATTTGTTGCAATGCAAATTATCTATTGGACATCCATGTGGGATTTATACAAGAACGACTTTGAGAATGAGAACTTATTGAGAGGCTCTTTTCGGGAACAAACAACATAAGATTTTGAGAATGAGAGATATTGGGCATAAAATGCTTGTTGTTTCAAAGTGGTACTCAAAGATCACAATAAAGAGGCTTGCTGAGTTGATGAGTCTCACCATCCATGAAGCTAAGAAGTATTTGTCTAAAATAGTGGTCTCCAAGGCAATGGTGGCACAGATCGACCAACCTATAAGATTAGTCTCATTCCAGCGAAATAATAATAGCAATGAACATTTAGATTCTTGGGTTTTGAATGTAGACAATCTCGTCCATCTTCTTGAAAAGAGTTTCCTTCTAGTAAACAAAGAGTTGTGTCAAGGAGTTAATGAGATGTGACAAACTTTGTACGATGAGGTTTTTTTTCATCCGAAATATGCATCGATAATTAAAAATATTTTTTCTTTTATTAATTAATCTATGGTGTTTTAGCGTATTTATTTTTTGCACTGGGGGGAATCTGAGAGGAAGAATTACCACTGATTAATAGATTTGACGTTTAAACACTATTGTGAGTTGTTCAATGAGCTGCTAGAATCTCTTGGAGAGAGTATGTGAGTAAAGATTAATTCAATTATAACATGTTTTTATAAATAATTTGATTAGTACTACGATATAATATACATAAAATAATTTCTACAAACGTTGTAGGAATAATTTGACGTTTAAACACTATAGTGGGTTGTTCAATGGTTGGCCTTATTGTTGATGCTACAAATTTGGTTCTGAAAGTTGCAGTGGAAACTTTTGTATCCATTAATCAAAGTGAGAGTATCCCCTATATTCTTGAACAAGTTCACCTCTGCTTAGATTGTAAGGACTATGTTCATGCTCAAGTTTCTTAAAGCAAGATTAGTCCTAGAGCATTGGACCCGCAAAAAAGTGACAATGTTGTAGATAAACTTCATGATGGCCTTCACTGCTTCCATTGATGTACATCTACTATAAGAAGATGATTAGGCTCCATTCTCATAACAATGACTATATTGTAAGTTGCCTTTGCTATAATGTAGTATACGGGATTTCGTTAATCATAGAAAATAAATCCGAGTGTATATAGGTTTTGAAAAAAATCTATTGGTATATGGTGTTGGCCCTACATAGTCCATTGTAATCAAGCCTTCTTCATTTAAAATTAGTGAAAGAAGATTTTACTGAGATTCAAAATTTAATTTTCTTCTTAAACAGTTTGTTGCAATGCAAATTATCTAATGGACATCCATGTAGGGTTTATATAAGAACGACTTTGAGAATGAGAAGAACTTACAGAGAGGCTCTTTCGGGGACCAAGCAACAGAAGATTTGAGAATGAGAGATGTTGGGCATAAAATGCTTGTTGTTTCAAAGTGGTACTCAAAGATCATATTGAAGAGGCTTGATGAGTTATTTTGCCTCACCATCCAAGAAGCTATGAAGCAGTTGTCTGAAATAGTGGTCTCCAAGGTAGTGGTGGCAAAGATTGACCAACCCATGAGATTAGTCTCGTTCTAGTGAAAAAATAATAGCAATGAATATCTAGATTCTTGGATTTTGAATGTAGAAAAACTCCTCCATCTTCTTGATAAGAGTTGCCTCATACTAAACAAGGAGTGGTGTCGAGGAGTTAACGAGATGCGTCGAACTTTGTGTGATGAGGTTTTTTTTCCTTCTCATTTTCCTTTATGTTGTTTTTCTTCTTCCGAAATATGCATGCATAATTAAAAATGTTTTTTTCTTTATACATAAATCTAGTGTGTTTTTAGCCTATTGATTTTTGGCGTCAGAAAAGTACGAGAGGAAGAATTGTCACGAATTAACAAATTTGACTATAATACCCGATTTTTGTCTGAAAGGTAAAAAATGAATACTGTTGATCGAAGCAAAACTTGGAGTCGTTCGTATTGGCTCAATGAAATTTAATTGCTTGAGTTTTAATAATATAAGCTAGCAGAGCTCTAGTCATTTGAAAATCCAAAATTGAATTAAAGGAAAGCTTAAATGCTTTTTTGGGCCATCCCATTAATGAAATCTGAAAAAGGATATTGCAAAAAAATCAACTCATCAGATAGTTCAAAATCAAATGTCCATGGCACAACCCATACATAATAGTAATCCATTACACTTAAATTTATAAGTAATCCATTAAAATATATAAGACCCATTGCAAACCAAAAATAAAGTGTCCATTACATGACCCATTACCAATGTAGCACAAATGACCCAACAATTTCATTAAGGCCCAAAACATTAACAAGAAATGGAACCCTAGCTGGAACAAGCATTTCGCCGTCACCAACTATGGCAGTTCTTCCACGGTGACAAGCAAGCAAGAAACAACAACAGTGGTCCCTAGCCTCACGTGAGAAGCTCAAAAGTGGTCCCATACATTTCCAGAAGCCTCTCCTTACAAGGTAGCAAGCCCCAATTTGCTCCATCAGCAGCAACAAATGCACAAACAAACAAAATGGGAAAAATCATATTTTATTCTTCCGTAAATGGATTAATAATAAACTCCAAAACAAAAAAGGATGTAAAGGGGATGGTCCTTTGATTGAAAAACAAAAGAACTTGGTAACAAGGGGCCCTGTTCCTCATTTGAAAAAAAAAACCAACGTCAAAGAGTATTCTTCCTTGTTTCGAAGGAAGAAAAACAATAGAAACACAAGGAAAAAAAAGCATTTCCAGAGGTATATCAACCATTTTTGCATCTTGAGTGTATATATATATATAGTCGAACCAAAATATAAAAAAGGGTTTAGTTGTTCACCTTAGTCCGAGGGGGCAGCGACGTCGGAGCCATGGCCATCGAGGCTAGGTAGTTCAGTGGTCGAGCGTTTCACGACTGTTTTGGGGGTTTTGTAGGAGTTTTCTAAGTCTCGCTTGGTTCATAGTTGAAAAGTGGAAGCTTGGGGGTTAAAGGTATTGATGCTAGTTTCCCGACCACCGATGGTGGTGGTCGGAGGTCAGAGAAGAGCCGATTTACGACGATGAGGGTTTAGTAGGGGCTCTCGGTAAAAAGAATAGAGGCTAGAAGAAGCTTGAAGTTTTGGGTCGTTTGGATTTCGGTTGGTTTCCACCGGTTGGAGTCAGGGTTATTTGGAGTGAGAGTGGCCTTTATCGGCAACTGTAAGAGAGTGAGAGAGATCTATAATAAAAAAAAGGAAAATTAGTTTTTTTGGGTTTTAGGGTTAAAATGAGCCAAAAAAATGTAGGTTAAATATTCAAAGTATAAGCGTTAATCACCTTTTAGTCCCCTAGTTTTGCCTCGTACTTGTATTTTTTGTCACTATTTCATCTTTTGTTTGATTTTTTTTATTTTAGCATGCTGTTTCATTTTATTTTGATTTGATCACTTTTATGTTATTTTATTTATTTTAAATTTGTTTCTTTTTTTATTTTGTTACATTTAAATCACTATTGTTAATTTGTTATTATTCAAAGCGATGACCCGTCTTGGGGTACGATCCACATTATTATGGATAGGGTAAAATTTCAACTTTTTACTAATTTTTAACTTTTAATTACTAAACTTTAACTTACTAACTTCTAAAAAATATTCGAACTAATTTAAGATCTTGCTATGACTCGTCCTGGGGTATGATTCGTATTATTTATGGTCCGGATGAAAATTAAAATTCAACTCCTAACTTTTTATTCTTAATTCGATTGTTTAATTTTTGTAATTTAAAATTTTTCCCTTTAATTTCTGTTTTTTATATTTTTGCCCCTTAATTTCTAGTACTTTTAACCTCTGTTTTTAACTTTCAGTAGTTATTTTCCAGCCCTTAGTTTTTGCATTTATTTCAATTTAGTCCTTGTTTATTTGTCGTAATTTATGCTATTTTTACATTTGGTATGTTTTTTTAAATATTTTTATTTTAGTCCTGCTTTATATTTAGGGATTAATTGTTTTCCAATGCTTATATTTAAGGTTATTTATCTTTTCGATCCTTATGGTTGTATTTTTGTTACTAAATGTTTTGTTGCTTACATTTTAGCCATTCACTTGCACCTTTGTTTAACCTTCTGTTATTTACATTTAAACTTGTAATACTTACATTATTTCATTTTAGATCCTCGTTGATTCATTATTAATACATTCGCACGTCATATATATTAATATGTATACAATATAGTTCATATTATTATTATATACATATGTTTATGTACAATTTGCTTCCATTTCTCACGTTTTGTAACTCATTTTGTATATAAGTTTATATATATATATTAAGGTTTGTATCGCATATAGCATATTAGAGTATATATTGGTATTTTCATCACTTTTGTGTATTATATTAAATGTCAATTTCAAACGCATATGCATTATTTTTACTAAGATAATATTATTTTGTAAGGAGAATCTATGGAAACGTGCCTTGCTGACAAGGAGTGTGTTTCCGAAGTTGTTCGTACAAAATAGTATTTTTTTATATATTCAAATGACTTTTCTAAAAAATATGTTAAAATATATATAATTTTCCAAAATCAGGGCAATGTTATTTTGTGTGGGCAATCTATGAAAATGCGCCTTGACTGACAAGAAATGTATTTTCGAGGATTGTTCGTACAAAATAATATCCCTTTTAATTTTTCTAAAAAAGGGATAAAAATTTAAATACATATTTGAATTTATAATTTTCATTTTTTAGAGGATGTATAATTGTTTCGGTACCAATTTTGGGAGTTGTGGGGGTGCTCATCCTTCCCTATGCGTAATCGACACCTGAACCATTTTCAAAACGAGTTTCTGGTTAAACACAATCTACTTTTATCTTTTAAAATTATTTTTCTTAAAATTCTTTTAAAAGATATTTTTAGGTGTTCGACCTGCCTATACCATAGGTCGATGGAGACTCCAAATTTGTTTGTTTTTCAAACCCCTATCTTTTACAAATTTAAGTTGGATCGTTTCCCCGCCTAGCCCTAAAAAAGCTTAAGGATCATTTCGACATCTTAACGACTCTGGTGGGGACATTAGAGAGTCAAGCCGTAATAAATTATACACCATCTTTATATTTGAAAAATGTAAATTCAAGTGATATTTAAATTTTGATCTTTTTAATTTTGTTTTGCATTTCATCATATCATACATTCTTTCTTTTATCATTAGCAATAAATAGTTGTACTAATGTGTGGTTTCCCTTTATTTCATATTTCTGGCATTTTTTTCGAGTTTGTTTTTTGATATGGGCAAAGGATTGTGAGTTTCCCCTCCCACGCACCGTAACCATCTGAATATGTAGAGCCTTCTAACTGTGCTCTGTCCCTTTATGTACAGGTGAACGGTACGCTTACGTGAGAAAAAATATTTTTCTCCGCATGGGCTTTAGCAAGTAACCTCTAGGGTGGATATGATTTATGTTTACGAGAGAAACATTGAGTTCCCTTGCTTGGACATAAAGAATGCATCTTCTCGAATTGAACTTGGTTTGTTTAAGCCTATAATGGGTGAGGATAGAGGGTCTGGTAGGCCTTAGGGGATGCCAGCAAAGGACAATTTGAAGACCCTTTAGTAGTACCAAAAATCTACTCATTTCATAATGAAACTCTATCTGTGGATCTTCAAACAATCACAAAAGGGAAACTCACTCTAACCTTTGCTTAAATTTACTTTATGCAAAATGCATGCGAACTAAAAAAGTATGTGGTTAGGTTTTATGTTTATGTACAAAGCATGAGAACTAGAAAAAATACGGTTAGGATTTATTTGTCGAACCAAGGTATAGGGGTAAAAAACTTGTATGGGTTGGATTGTTATTTAATAAAACCATGTCAGGGTAGATACCATGTTAGATAGGATCTTTTTTTTACAAAAATATTTTCCTACTATTTTGATTGATTGGTACTAATGATTTCTTGTGTCTTATTTTGTTTATTCTTTGTTCCTTGTATTTGCATCTTCATATCATGGTCAAAGGTGTTAATTCGTAAGTGATTGACCAAATTAGAAGGTTTTCTTATCGACATAAGGGTTTCACATCTAGGTAGTCATATCCGTAAGGTCAACAATTTACAAATGAAGTTGATCGATGAAGAAAGAGCTCAAAATTGATCGAAGACTTTCGTTAGAGGAACAAAGATTCAAGTGGTACTAAAGAGTCAGATGCTAACTGAGTCAAAATTTGGAAGATCATTCACGAGATATGAAGACTGTTTTTTTCTTGGAGAATTCCACAAAAATTGAGGTATAAAGATCCAACAATCACAATAGATGAATTCAAATGAAGATAAACGGTTCAACATTTTGATTAGTCCATCAACGACCATAAAGACAACATCAAATCATGAGAAAAGCCTAGATCTAGTTAACTAAGAAAATTAAAATCGTGAAATTTGACTATCCAATGTAAAAAGAACTTATGGCCGATGAAGGTTGTTCTATGGTGATCGCTTTTAGAATTAGCACTTTTTGTATTTGCATTATTGTTTTGCATTAATTAATTAATTTTATTATTATTAGTTTTATAATAATTCTTGCTATTTTTTTATCTTATTTATACTAACGTATT